GCAAGAAAAACTCTCTTCAGGACCAAATGGGGCTACTTTCCTTCAGCGGGGCAGCAAGCGATGGGCAGCACGTTTGCCGGTAATTAATTTCACCCATTGTGCTAAGATGTGGTTTGCTTAACCTTGATTTATGGCAGGTTTTGTACAGCCGCAAACGACGGTTTACAAACCACATGGGCCTTGTCCAGGCAACCTGCAAAGTCAAAATCGAGTAACCACATGATGGCTTCATGTGATAAACAGTGATTCCTGCTGCAAGAGTTGGATGCTGTGCTACTGCTGTTTTAACTGATGTAAACTGCTGCGGAGTTTTGCCAGATAGCAGTGTGTGTGTGTGTGTGTGTGTGTGTGTGTACTCTTTAGTCGAGTTTGCCCACCGTGCAAAGCAAGGAGGGGAGAAAAACGAGAGTTTTGCTGCCCCTTCCCCATCCTGATCCTTCACATTAGCCCAGTTCCTCCTGGCACTTTCAGGGAGCTTCCTGAGAATCACCCCCTCCTCCCCTGCTTTACAGGAAGGAACTCTGATTGGGCTCTCTTCTTTTTAAAGAGAAGTTGTGATCAGGGGCTGACTAAAGCAGAGGGAGGAAGCCGCTTTTGTGCATCACTTACCAACACTGCCACAGCTGCTAGTCGTTGTATAGAGGCAGTATCATCATCATCATCATCTTCAAAGAATGTTCCAGAAATGCTGGTGGTTTAGGATCAATTCAGACTTCATCCAAATATCATCACGATGTGTCTGTGGTTCCAAGCAAAGCTGTTTTTTGTAAGCTAAATGGTGTGGGTTTGAATAATTGAAAAATTTTTTCAGCTGATTTGACCATTCTATGCTCCAGTAATTATGGGGAAAACTTTGGCCGGTTTGTTCCATAATCTCTCTATTGCAGTTGTTAAGTCCCAATATTTTGCAATCTTTTCCATTTCCTTTTGCGCCACTCTGCTGTCATTTCTGCATCTGTAAGTAAGACTTGCTTTTCTTCAACTACGGTGATGTCTGGCATGTTGCCTTCTAGACGTTCATCTGGATTTGGAAGTCCCATAAACTGTTGACATGCTCCTTCCAGAGCACTTTTTCAACATTACGGTCACGCCAATACTTGGCGTACTTACTTACTTATTTATTAGACTTATATGCCGCCCATCTCCCCCACATCAAATCCACATCCTGTCTCCTAACCTAATCTGGGCAAATTTGCCACCTCATCTCGGTGGTCAACAGCCTTGTCTCTCTCTTTGCATGGTCAACATGAGTTGTTGTTTCCAGTTTTCTGAATTTTCGTGTTAAGGCATTTGTGGCTTGAGTTTGTCCTCACGCTGCAAATATTACTCCTTCTGTTTCTTTTTGATGGAGCCAATCTGAAGCCTTGCCAAACTGTGTTACTCTTCACCTTGCCTTCAGTTTATTTTGGATACAGACCAGGCAGAAGTTGCTGCTCTTATGCTTTCAGAAAATGCTCTTTTTCTACAGAGGCTTGGTCCTTTTTCCCAAGCAGTAACACCTTGCAAAGAGGCTCTCCGTCCCTCGCCTGGGGGGCCAGCTGGGACTTCATCTCCTCCTCCTCCTCCTCCTCTTTCCGCCCAGAGGCTGCGAAGGGGGTGGAGACCTGCTTCTCCCCTCTCGGTGCTCTGAATCGGTCAGGCCGTCCTTCAAGAGACCTGGAGGGACCTTGGCCCCACTTTGGCCTTCAGGGGCTATGGCAAGCACGTAGGCACCCCAGTTTGGGGAAGAGGGTGGCAAAATATGACTGCTTTCAGGACTGCAAATTATAGCAGTTAAAGTGCTTTCCGTCTGATCTGATGGCCTTACAGCTCTAATAAAGCATTATTATTATTAATAATAATTAATAATAATAACCATTGGGGGCGTCTTCATTCTAGTTCTAAGAGCAAGGGGGAGGCTAACGCAGTCAGTCCCGAGCGTGGGTTGAGGGGCTGGTCTTGTGGCAAACAGTGGCCCCATTTTTCAGGATACACCAGCTGATTTTCACTGGATTTCCAGCACAAAGGCTTCTGAGAATCGATGGGTGCCCATTCAGTGAAATGTCAGAGCATGCATCAAAATGTCAGGGCGTGGGCTTTCAACCGCACGTCCAGTCCTCGGCCGTGGCTACCCGGTAGCCGTCCGCCTCTGCGCAAGGCCGGTCCTCAGCCAACGGGCCTTTCTTTGTCTGCTGGTCGTGGATGCTGGCAGCCAGGCAGTATTCCTCTGGTTATTATTTCAATTTACACCTCACCTTTCTGCCCAGATGGCACCAAGCCGTGTTCGGTGGGAAAGAAAGTATTTTCTCACATGAGGCGGAATAACCCAATATTTAAGACGCAGCGGCAGTGGCGTGTTTAGGTACCGTTACGCAGAGGAGGCAAATTCGGGGTGTTCAGTGTGCCATTACTGTATTAAGCTCAGAAAAAGCTGAGTCTTCAGGGCAGGGTTTCTCAACCTCAGGCACTTTAAGGTTGGTGGGGCTTCTCTTCCCCGCTTCTCCACTCGTGCCCTGTTGGTCGGAGTATTTTTGGGGGTGTATGTCTGCTGCTCTATCG